TACAGTCTAATGGTAATAAACTAGTGGAACATAGAAGGCCTGATTGCTCAGACTCTTCCCTGTGATAAGGATGCTTCTTTCCTCCAGATATAGAAAGTGAACATTTCACATGAGGTTCTATGACCTGCTTCAGGGGAAAAGGATGGGGAAGGTCAAAGGGTGACTTTCCCACTTCTGCAGTTTGCTTACATGCCAAGGTGTCATATTTTGGTTCTGAATTTCATCAAATTCAATTTATCAATTTTTCTTTTGTAACTAATGCCCTTGTGTTCTGTTTAACAAGTATTTGATTTCCATGAGTTCATGAATATATTTTCTGTCTTTTGTTCTAGACACTTTACCTGTCACATTTAGGTTTCTATTCATTTTAAATTAATTTTTGTGCATAGTTTGAGAAATGGGTTAAGGCTCATTTTGTTCTCTCCAATTGTTCATCACTGTTTATTGAAAACAAATCCTGGCTAGACATAGTGGCCCACACCTATAATCCCAGCACTTTGAAAAGTAGTGGTGAAAGATCACGTGAGCCTGAGAGTCTGAGGCTGCAATGAGCAATGATCATGCAACTGCACTTCAGGCTGGGAGACAAAGCAAGACCCTGTCTCTAAAAATACATACATTAATAAACATTAAAAATTTAAAATAAATTTAAAGAAAAATATTTTCTTGCTTTGGTGACTGTTGAAAATCAGTTTACTGTGTACATGTGGGTCTATTTCTTGACTCTATTCCATTGCATTGATCTCAGCTCTCAGGACCACACCACCTAATTTCTGAAGCTTCATAATAAGTCTAAGAATCAAACAGTTTAAGTACTCCAACTTAGTTCAAGCTTCTTCAAAGTTGTCTTGGCTATTCTAGAATTAGCTTGTCAATTTCAATTTGTAAAAGTCTGCTAGGATTTTTATTGATACTGCATTTAATCTACATATCTATTTCCAAAGAACTACAATCTTAATAGTATTGAGTCTTATGATTAAACATATAACTCTCTAGATCAAGTTTTCGGTAATAGCTTATAATTTTCACTAAAGAGATCTTGCATATCTCTTACTAATTTTTTGTAGGTGTCTAGTATTTTTAACACTATTATAAATGATATTTTTCATTTTATTTTTCAATTGTTTGTTGCTTATATATAAAAATATAACTGGTTTCTGTTGTCATCTATTTTTTTAAAAAAAAAAGCTGTTTTATCTTTTCCCTTTCTAACTATATGCATTTTATTTTAATTTTTTTCTTGCCTTGTTACACTGTCTAGGACCTACAGTATGATATTGAATAAAGCTTATAAGCCCTGGCCTTGCACTTCTTCTAACTTAAGGGGAAAACATTCAATGTTTTATGATTAAGGATTATATTAGCTATAGATATGACATAGATACCTTTTATTAATTTCTGAAAGTTTCTTTCTAGTCATAGCTGAGATTTATCATAAATAGGTGTTGACTTTCATTAAAACATTTTTCTAAATTACGTTTGATTTTCTGTCTTGCTAGTGAAGTGAAACAAGTTGATTTAGAAATGTTGAATCAACTTTACTTTTTGAAATAAAATGCAGCTGGTCATGAGGTAGTATCCTTTTTAAATATTGGTTGATTTGGCTTGCTAGTATTTTGTTAGAATTTTTGCATTTTTATTCATTAGTTAATTATTTATTTATTGCAATAACCTTGTCAGACTTTGATATCAGGCTTACGTTGCTCTCATAAAATAAACTGAGAAATATTTCCTCTTATCTGTTCTCTGTGGGAAAAATTTGTAATCAATAGGTTATTTTTTTCTGCCTACAATATTAGGGAGAATTCATCAATAAAATCCTCTGGACCTGGACTTTTAAAACTTAGAAAAGTTTTTCATTGTGGCCTTGGTTTTTTAAACATTTTTTTGCATTATTCAGATTTTCCATTTCTTCTTGTTTAGGAAATTGTATTTTTCAAGAAACCTGTTCATTTTCTTTAAATTGCCAAATTATTAGCATGAAGTTGTTCATAATAATAGTTGATATGATAATATCCCTAAAAGGCTGTTGGATCTGTAGTAATATCTTTTTTTTTTTTTTTTTGGTCAGTATTCATAGAAATTGACAATGGTACATTTCACCAGAACCCTGTGCTGTGGAAAACAGCAATCATTAAGAAATCCCCTTACTTTTTTGTCTTCCAGAAAAAGACTTACTACAAATAAACACCCCTCCCTGTATAACTTGCCCCATATGACTAACAGATGCCACTTTCTTAGTCTGTAATGAGGCCAAACACAGACACTCCAAATTCTCACTCTTTGCCCCATAAATTATTAAACTATTTGGTCCCCACTGCTCAATCAGAATGAAATGCTTGTTAATAGTTAGGATTCTCTCTTTCTGCCAGGTCTCAGCATTCTAACTCACCTCTAGCATGAGTCAACATACAACATACAACCCTTCCTTAATGACCTTTCTCAAGAGTAGGCTGACCTCAGATAAAACATCCTCTAACATATTGTCTGATCATCTCCCCTCCAACCTGTAATCCTGTTCTTCCAGTTCTCACAAACTGAGTTCTTTCCAGGTTTGTTTACTCTTCCCTATAAAAGAAAAGTCATTTTCTGCTTAACCTTTGAGACCCTTACAGGTCTCACAGTGAGAGCATTTTCCTTATTGCAATAGTCCCTTTTCCCCTCTTGAAATAATCTTTTCAGGTAAAGTTTCCTCTTTTCTAAATTTGGAGCTGCTTTTTACTTGATAGAATTTATCAATTTTACTAATGTATTTAAAGAAACAGCTTTGGCTCTGTTAATTTTATCTGTTGTTGATTTGTTTTCCATTGATTTCTGCTGTTAATTATTTTCATCTACCTCTCTCTGTTTTATTATTTCTTCTGGTTTATAACCTATTGAGATGAAAGCTTAGATCATTTAGTTTAAAACTATTTTCCATTTTAATAGATTCACTTAGAGCAATAAATGCACCCCTCTATATCCCACAAATGTTGACACATTGTGTTTACATTTTTGCTTGGTTCAAAATATTCTCTAACTCCCATATGATTTCTTCTTAGATCCATAGCTTCTTTAAAAATACGTTGCTTAATTTCCAAATACTTTGTAATCTTCCAGCTTTCTATTTTTGGGGGGAGAAGGGGTTCCATATCATCATGGTCAGAGAACATACTCTGTATCATTTCAATCCTTTAGATCTTATTAAAATGTTATTGTTTTTAATATGGCTCAGGCCATAGTCTATCTTGGTAAGTATTCCATGTGCATTTACACAGAATTCTTATTTACAGAGACAAGTTTCTATGGGTTCTCATGTTTCTGTACATCTTATAAGCAGAGACACTAATAGCCTTTTTATTTTTTCAGAGATATTTACATAGCAAACAGCCTAAAGATGGAGATAATGTATTCACTTGGAATAGAGGGCAGGTTAATTTGCTGGCCACTGTAATAAAGATAATGACTCCCTCTGGGGTGAAAGTTGAGTAGATTTGCTTTCACCCTGTGATAAAAGCCTGAGGCTTCCTGGACTCAAGGTTCCTCGGCTGCAATGCAAATTCACTGCTTGTCTGGCATCCACCTCGGCCATACTACATCACCCCTTTGAGAGTTGGTCAGGGAATAAAAGGAACCAAGGCAAACGTGAAGCTCAGTACACTTGCTGTGCTGGAACAAGTTTTTTTGGTCTCTGACACAGGATTCTCAGGCCTTCTCCAGCAACCATGAAAGTGGGAGCCTAATTAATTAGCATGCAAGTAGGGCAAAATCAAAAACCTTTACTGTTCTTGACATTTATTATGCAGCTGTTTGATGAACTGTTTCATACATGCTAATTAGGTTACATTTGTTAATCATGTCATTCAGATCCTATATATCCCTATTGCTTTTTTTCTGTATGTTTTATCAGTTATGAGAGAAGGGTGTGTGTGACTTCCATTATGATTGTGGATTTGCCTCTTTCTTCCTGTACTTCTGCCAATTTTTGCTTTTTGTGTACTTTTCTTAGTAGATATTGATATGGTTTGGCTCTGTGTTCCCACCCTAAGTTTCATCTTGAATTGTGCTCCCATAATTCCCACATGTTGTGGAAGGGACCCAGTGGAAGATAATTGAATGATGAAGGCAGTTTCCCCAAAACTGTTCTCATGGTGGTGAGTAAGTCTCATGAGATCTGATGGTTTTATCAGGGGTTTCTGCTTTTGCATTTTCCTCATTCTCTCTTTGCCTGCTGCCATCCACGTAAGACAGGACTTGCTCCTCCTTGCCTTCTGCCATGATTCCGAGGCTTCCCCAGCTATATGGAGCTGTACATCCAATTAAACCTCTTTCTTTTGTAAATTGCCCGCTCTCTACTGTGTCTTATCAGCAGTATGAAAACAGACTAATACAGATGATGTCTTGCTTCTCAGGCTGGCCTCAAACTCCTGGACTCAAGGAATCCTCCCATCTCAGCCTCCTGAGTCACTGGGACTACAGGCATGCACCATGGATCCCAGCTTGCTTTGTGTGTACTTTGAAGACATAATATTGTGTCCAAACTTTTTGGATTATTTGTCATCTTGAAGAATCGGCCCTTTTACCATTTAAGATACCCCTCCTTACCTTTGGGAATGTTTTTTATTATTAATCTACTTTGAGATTAATACAACCACACCAGCTCTCTTGTGCTTCCTGTTTACATGGTATGTGTTTTCCATGGTTTTGCTTTTAGCAGTAGTTCTGTTATATTTGAAGTGTGTCTAATAAATAGTATGCAGTTTCTTCCTATTTCAACAGTCTGTTTTTCATAATAGCACTTTGTTTTAAAATATGTCCACAGGCAGGATGTCAGTAAAATGACCAATGAGGAGACTCCAAGCTCTCATTTTTCCACAGAAACACGCCCAAAAACTGTATGAGCCAACTTCGCATAAGCTCTGGAGAATTATCAAAGGTTACAGCTCCTAAGAAAACATCTAATCAAAAAAAAAAAGCCACGTGAAAAATGATAGAAAAGTTTTGTGGTGGTTTTTACTCACCCTCTTTCCATCCTATTCCAGTGTGGCAGCAGCCTTGGTCGTGAGTGTCAGAAGTCAAGTCTCTACTTCTTTCCCTCAAACTAGAAAGAACAGAGCAAACTCTATTTGCAAATTATTATGTACATCTGTTGTAACCTGGCTAGGAAATACCTAGAGGACTGATGTAGGGTGCTCATTTCTGTATGGCATAACTCAGAATGCAGGAAGAAAGAGCAGTGGGCACTTTTCCCCTTGTAGTTTGTAAAGCTATAGGGGAACGACAAGTCAACAGATGCTTTAGGCAAAAGATTTCAAGTGGAGACAGAGAACAGACCATCTAAGGCCAAGAGGAGAAGCTGGGGTGAGGCTTTCTGGGAAATTAGGATATGCAAAAGTAGCCACATATATGGAAGAATTTATTAGTTCACACATGGTCCAACAAGATGTGCTCAGAAAAGATCTGAGATGACATTAAGTTTTCACTTCAGGCTGAATCCTAGACTCAGAGCAAGCCTATCTAAGTAGCAAAGGAGTGCCCCAGCACAAAACCCATCTGCAAAGACTAGAAGAGGAGTTTTTCACTATTTTAGGCTTCTTTTGTGAGGAGGGCTATTGTTTGGTTGTTTCAGCTCCACACATTCAAAAACTCTCTGTGAAAACATTAACTAAACCAAGCTAAAATAACAGAGTGATCACACATGGCAAGGGCTTTACAAAAATTGTTTGAAAAGTTCTCAAAAAAGACTACTATAGCCTTTGACAATCAGAAAAAAAAAGAGCAAATGTTGGGAAAAGAAGAAAATCTGTTTTTCGGAGTTACCACAGTATAATAGTCAAATACTCAATATTCAATAAAAAGTCACAATGCATAGGAATAAAAAAAGAAAATATGGCTTGTTCAAAGAAACAAAGTAAATAACAGAAACCATCTATCAACAAACCCAGACATCAGAATTACTACACAAAGACTTTAAAGCAACTAACTGTGCTATGTATGCCCAAAGAGCCAAACAAAACCACAAAGAACTAAAGGGAATCAGAAAAACAATATATGAACAAATGAGAATATAAATAAAGGCATAAAAGTTATGAAAAAGGAAAGAAAAATATTGGAGCTGAAAAGTACAAAAACTGAAATAACTTTACTAGACAGGTTCAACAGCAGATTGAAACAGACGGAAGAATGAATCAGCAAACTTGAAGAGAGGCAACTAAAATAGTCAAGTGTGAGGAACCGAAAGGAAAAACAAGTTAGCTAATTTTTTGATTTAAAGTAGATCTCTTGAAGACAGCATGTAGTTAGGTGTGAGAGTGCATTTATTCATCAGTCGTTGAGTCAGGGTCTGCAGGACAGACCTCCACAGGTGTTGACTGACATCTCAGGTGGTGATCCCAACGTGATCAAGGTCTCAGGTGGTGACCCCGACATGATTGAGGTCTTTAAGAAAATTGTAGACCAATATCTCTTATAAATATTAATGCAAAACTTCTCAATGAAATACTAGCAAACACACTTCTGCAGTATATTAAAAGGATTATATATTATGACCAAGTAGGATTTATCCCTGGAACGAAAAGATTTAACATATGAAAATTCATCAGTGTAATACACCACAGTTGTATAATAAAAGATAAAAACCACACAATAATCTCGATTGCTGTAGAAAAAGCATTTGACGATACTAAACACTATTTAATGATAAAAAATAAAAACTCAAGCTAGACAAAGTAACGAAGATAAAATTTTCAAATTGTATATCTGATGAGATTACTATCTACAATATTTTTTAAGCTCTTACAACTCAATAAAAAAATTCAAAATGGACAAAGGACTTTAAATGAACATTTCTCCAAAGAAGCTATGTAAATGACCAATAAGCACAAGAAAATATGCCCAGCATCACTAGTCATTAGGTAAATTCAAATCAAAACCACAGTGGGATACCCCTTCATGCTCATTAGAATGACTGCTATCAAAACAAACAAACAAGCTTGGCATGGTGCCTCACGCCTATAATCCCAGCACTTTGGGAGGCAGAGGAGGGTGGATCATTTGAGATTAGGAGGCAGAGACCAACCTGGCCAACATGGTGAAACCTCATCTCTACTAAAAGTATAAAACAGCTGGGCAGTAGTGGCATGCACCTGTAATCCCATCTACTCCAGAGGCTGAGGCAGGAGAATCACTTGAGCTTGGGCAATGGAGGTTGTGATGAGCTGAGATCATGCCACTGCTCTCCAGTCTGGGCAACACAGTCAGACCCTGTCTCAAAAGCAAACAAAAAATAAAATAGAGAATAACAAGGACTGGCAATGACTTGGCAAACTTAGAATGCTTGTGTCACTGCTGATTACCATATAATATAACAAGTTCACTTCTAAGTGCACACCCTCAAAAATTTGGAAGCAACCACTCAAACAGGTACTTGTACATTAATGTTCATAGCAGCATTACTCACAGGAGCTAAAATGTAGAAAGAACCAAGTGTCCAGTGATGGATGAATGAATGAAAATGTGATATATACATATAATGAAATATTCTTCAACCTTAAAAAGAAGTCAAATCTAATATAGTCTATAATATGGCTAAGCCTTGAAAATACTAAGTGTTTGTCAGATGCAAAATGACAAATGGTGTATGATGTACCCAGAATAGGCAAATTCATAGAGACAGAAAGTAGAACAAAGGTTACCAGAGGATTGTAGAAGGAAGAATGCAAAGTTATTTTTCAATGGGTACAGAACTTCTGTTTGGAACTATGAAAAAGTTCTGGAAATGAATAGTGGTGATTGTTACACAGTGGGAAGTCACTAAGGCCACTGAATGGCACATTTTAAAAGTGTTAAAATGGTAAGTCTTATGTATATTTTACCACAATTTAAAAATTTTTAAAAACTCCTTTTTTAGCATTTTTTTAAATTTTAAGTTCTGGAATACATGTGCAGAACATGCAGGTTTGTTACATAGGTATACAAGTGCCATGGTGGTTTGCTGCACCTATTGACCTCTAAGTTCCCTCCCTTGCCTCCCACCCCAACAGATCCTGGTGTGTGTTATTCTCCTCCCTGTGTCCATGTGTTCCCATTGTTCCTACTTATGAATGAGAATGTATGGTGTTTGGTTTTGTGTTCCTGTGCTAGTTTGCTGAGGATGATGGCTTTCAGCTTCATACATGTTTCTGCAAAGCACATGATCTTCTTTCCTTTTATGGTTGCATAATACTCCATGGTGTATATTTACTGCATTTTCTTTATCCAGTCTGTCATTGATGGGCATTTGGGTTGGTTCCAAGTCTTTGCTATTGTAAATTGTGCTGCATTAAACATACATGTGCATGTATCTTTATAGTACAATGATTTATATTCCTCTGGGTAGATACCCAGTAATGGGATTGCTGGATCAAATGATATTCCTGATTCTAGATCCTTGAGGAATCACCATACTGTGTTCCACAATGGTTGAACTAATTCACATTCCCACCAACAGTGTAAAAGTGTACCTATTTCTCCACAGCCTCACCAGCATCTATTGCTTCCTTTCTAATAATCACCATTCTGACTGGTTTGAGATGGTATCTCATTGTGGTTTTGATTTGCATTTCTGTAATTATTAGTGATGTTAAGCTTTTTATCATGTTTGTTGGCCATGTAAATTTCTTCTTTGAGAAGTGTCCATTCACAGCCTTTGCTCACTTTTTAATGGGTTGTTTGTTTTTTTCTTGTAAATTTGTTTAAGTTTCTTGTAAATTCTAGATATTAGACCTTTGTCATATGAGTAGATTGCAGAAATTTCTCACATCATGTAGGTTGCCTATTCACTCTGGTAACAGTTTCTTTTGCTGTGCAGAAGCTCTTTTCACTTAATTGGATCCCGTTTGTAAATTTTGGCATTTGTTGCAATTGTTTTTGGTGATTTCATCATGAAGTCTTTGCCCATGCCTATGTCCTGAATGATATTGCCCAGATTTTCCTCTAGGGTATTTATGGTTTTGGGTTTTATATTTAAGTCTTTAATCCATCTTGAGTTAATTTTTGTATAACATGTAAGAAAAGGATCCAGTTTCAGTATTCTGCATATGGCTAGCCAGTTTTCCTAGCACCATTTATTGAATGGGAGATCCTTTCCTCATTGCTTTTTTTTGTCAGGTTTGTCAAAGATCAGATGGTTGTAAATGTGTGTTGTTATTTCTGAAGTATCTTCTGTTTTATTGGTCTATAAGTCTGTTTTGATGCCAGTACCATGCTGTTTTGGTTACTGTAGCCTTGTAGTATACTTTGAAGTCACGTAGCATGATGCCTCCAGCTTTGTTTTTGCCTAGAACTTTGATTCCATATGAAATTTAAATTAGTTTTCTCTAATTCTGTAAAGAATGTCAATGCTAATTTTATGGGAATAGCATTGAATGTATAAATTATTTTGAGTATTATGGCCATTTTCATGCTATTAATTCTTCCTATCCATGAGACAAGAAAATTTTTTCCATTGTTTGTGTCCTCTCTTGTTTCCTTAAGCAGTGGTTTGTAGTTTTCCTTGAAGAGGTTCTTCACATCCCTTGTTAGCTGTATTTCTAGGTATCTTATTCTCCTTGTAGCAATTGTGAATGGGAGTTCATTCATGATTTGGCTGTCTGCTTGCTATTTCTGGTGTAAAAGATACTTGTAATTTTTGTGCATTGATTTGGTATCCTGAGACTTTGTTGAAGTTGCTTATCAGCTTAAGGAAATTTTAGGCTGAGATGATGGGATTTTCTAAACATAGAATCATGTCATTTGCAAACACAGACAATTTTACTTCCTCTTTTCCTATATGAATACCCATTATTTAGGGTATTCATATAGGAATACCCTATATTCTTGCCTGATTGCCCTGGCCAAAACTTCCAATACTATGTTGAATATGAGTGGTGAGAGAGAGCATCCTTGTATCAGTTTTCAAAGGGAATGCTTCCAGCTTTTGCCCATTTAATATATATTGGCTCTTGGTTTGTCATAAATAGCTCTTAATATTTTGGGATATGTTCTACTTTATTGAAAGTCTTTTTTTTTTTCTTTGTGTGCGATATTTATTTCAAATGTTTGTTAAAACAGCATTGTTATTTC